GATCGAAAAAGTAATAAACCCGTCGTGTCGAACCGCGCCAAATGTTGCTGGTCAATAGATGGCGCCACGACTCACTTAGGAACCTCTTTCGCCGAGGCTCGGTTTCTTTTTTTCTTTCATCTTTTTCATCAAGGGCTCGCCTTCCCTCGTTTCAGGGGGGGAGGCTGCGCGTAAGCCACGTAGCAATATTTGCATCTCGACGAAGCTCGTGACGGTGAACGATGAACGAACACTGTTCGCGAAGGAGCCAGCACGATGGGGATATATACGAAGTATAGTGTACATGGTCAAATACGGAGTTAGTCTCTGCACTCTTCTTCGTCATCATGTGCATGCACGCAGCCCTCAATATGGAAAGATGCCAAAGGTGGATGGTGCTCGCGTCCGCAATGAGTTGTCTCTCGCTCTCTGTGTCGTCATCACCAGCGGTGGCAGGACAGACAGCAAAGGCCAGCTGTTGTGACACGTAGATTGACCTGCAGACAGACACCACTGATAATGCCATGCACCAGAGACTGGCTGGCTTTTTTTCTCCTTTGAGACAGGAGGAGAGTTGCGAAGTTGGATGACCCTGTGCGATATCCCCGACCCCTGTGACTAAACCCAACTAAATCATTTTAAACTAGCTTCTTTATCGCATACGGGTGCACTATCCCCGGCCTGTGCGATATCCCTGCCCTGTGCGTTCTCCCGCACTATTACGGTTTTCATGTGAGCCCTGTGCACTGAAATTTAACACAGACTGTACAGAACGTTACACAGTGCGCATCAGGCATCATCCATCGGCTTTAATTTTACGTAATATTCCACGGTGCAAAATTCCATCGCCGTGGAACTCTGTAGAAACCCCTTCAACTCCATGGATGGATGTCCATAATGTTCCATGGTGTTCAATGGACCACCGTAGAACTCCATGGCATGCCGCGGCGGCCCGTAGCACATACTCATGGTTACCCCACGGACGTTCTTGGGGCTCCGTGGTACTCCATGGAACTGTTGTGGGTCTCCATGGGGTTCCATCGGTTTCCATGGAAGTTGGCATTTGTTTTCCTATTTTCTTGAGTTTTGGTGTTGGGCTTTGTGATGACGTCACTGGTGTAGTAGAGAGACGCGACAGAGATGTCTGCGGCTACCCTGGGTGCCTTGATTGTGTGCTGCATCGTGGAAGACCCCTTCAATGTGGAACGCTTTCTAGTCAGTGTCAATGTTTACACCGTGCTTCGCAGAGACGATTCGGGACAGACCCGGGTGATTGTCAAATGGGCTTTGGTAGGATGTTCTCTTTCACTCCCCGTACAACGGCTGCGTTTTCTTTATCATTTCCACGCCTACCGTGTGAATATTTTGTTCAAGAACGAAAGGGTTTATAGCTCCACATCGCGTCAACGTTGAAGTGAGAAATATGAGGTTGCATTTTAGGTGGTGGTAGAAGATGGTTGATCTACTTTATTAAGTGTTGTCATCTGGGCTTTACGTACACTCTGTTAAATACTGGGACTTCGTATATCTCTACTGGGGGGAGTTTTTTTTTTTTTGCATGTGCATGTTGAACCATATCTCGCACTGGAGACTCACTCACCGGATTCATACAGCATCAGAAGGCTACTTACACCTCTGGTTGTAAGTTTTCGATCGGCTATGTCTCGGTACGGTACCCTAGAGAGCACCATGATTTCATGATGGGAAACGGTCTATCAGACCCGCCGGCACAACACAAAGACCCCTCCGTTACCTGGCTTATTTTGTGCCATAGAACTCACTGCTGTGTATGTTTTTGTTCCCGCGCATGTGCACCTCATCCCCTGCCCTTGCTCCACTGCTGCCGCTGCGACGAATTTTGCTGCTGTTGAGGATATATGCCCAGTGTATTGAAAACTTTAGTTTGTGCCTCAATATCAATTTTTGGCCACTGCAGACCTCCGCTGAGAAATCGTGGAAAATGCTCCGAAGTTGGGTCTCTAGCTTAGTAGCTTCAGTACAACGTGGTAACGCGCACATCTAATGCCCACAAACCAAAAGCTGTCAACATGTTCCGTCTCAGGTAGGCCATCCTTCGTTGATTTCAACGGTTTCTCTCAAGTCAATTTTGTTGATCATGTGATGTGTTTGGCAGCGGCGGAGCTTAATCATATTGTTTCGATATCGGTAAAACCAAACATCTTGATGTGTTTTTTTTGTCATCGGTCTTCGTTACTCTCTCTTGTGTCTTTGTTCGAAGTCTCGTCAGGTGACGGTATTGAAAAAGGCAACAGAGAAACCATCAACACCGACAGCGTACACAGCTTTGTGCGTCGAGAGTGCGTGAAATACCGCACGAAACATCCCCAGGGATCTTCATGGGTTTGTGATGATTTGTCTGAGTCTCGCCAAGGTTTAGCCCTGAACAAAATTTTGAATAAGGGACCACCATGGCTCCAGCTGTGAGTGACTTTGGATCATTAAAACAATTATTATTTTCCTTGCGGTGTTGCTGCTGTCGCAGGTGGTGTCGTAATGACCTCGTACCGTGGTCATCGCGGACCTTTTCGGGTGGGGTTGCTTGTGTTCGCAATGGCCTCCTGGCGTCTGCTTTTGACGACGGGGACGGAGACAGACACGTTGCCGTCCCCGAGCATTGGCGGCGAGCACTCAAACTCGAACGACGGGCCACTGAAGAGGGATACAGTCTCGCCTTTCATAGCACAAGTTGCTTCCACGGGAACTCGTTCCCCACAAGATGACTCATCTGATGGAAATGGCAGAAATCCCCAGTCGTCGGGTTCACGGGCGAATGCTGTGTGGGGGGAGCTTCTCGAGGCAAGAGGGCACCCCCCGTGTTCGAACCCGCCGTTCAAAGAGGTCAGCTCCGCCCTCGTTCATATACTCTGTACCTGGTTGCTTGTCCCGATTTGCTCACATCTGGGACTAACGCGCGTCTATGCTCCAAGCGAAAATTTTGTTCACGCAGTTGCTTCCGGGCGCGTACTATTGCGTTCTTCTGTACATCAGTGACATCTTGTTTCACGCTCCGTTTTTGACGCCCGCTGTTTCACTTCCTCGGTGCAGCTATCGAAACCGGCCAGTAGGGATCCACAATTCATTAACATACGTCTCATTTTGGCGAAAAGGCTGAAACATGTTCTTCGATGGTCGGTTTGTTGACCCATCTTTGGGTTGCTCTGCTGCTCGAGTGTACCAGGGACTGCACAAACTGGAGGACTGGGCTGACCTAGGCGAAGAAATGTCACACGTCCAGGGGGCGGTGGTGATCAGGCGGCCAGATCTAGTTGACGCGGATTCCCCCTCTTCCTTGCTGGCACCGGCCAAGAGCGTAAACTACGTGCCTACGCTACAATCCTACTTTTCTTTGTTCAAGAGCTCCTTCATTCCCGGGTAGGGGTTGGTATTGACAGAGGAAACTGGTAGATACTTAGCAGAGATTCGCATGCGCAGCACTGTCATGAAATCAAGTCGACGAATCCCGCATGTCGCAGTCGAAAAGTGCCAGCTGAATGTCGTCTCTGTGGCGATCCTGTTGTGTTTACGCCGCTTCGCCAGGATGATGCTCGAAGAACACAAAGGTCTCAAGGAAGAGATCAGGATCGGCCGTTTTCTCGATGCTGTACGGCAAGGAGACGATTCGGCGGGAGTGTGAGTGTCTCATGACAACTGTATGGTACTTGGCACCGCCGTGAACATCAGGGTATGAAATACTTCGTAGTGTGCCTTCCTCACCGGGCGATGCAGCTTCTCCTAGCTACGATACCAAGACATGAGGCCAGAGGTACAGGCTGTGGCTGGCACCTTGGCGGCAGTCACAGACTAAGCGGGTTGTACAGGGGTTATGCAAGGCGCAATCAACCTCTGAAATTATGATGCATACTTGGCGGGGTGTGTAGCGGATTGCACAACCAAATTTCTTACGCCGCTTGTGCGAGGGGACTGCAACGTAGTTTTTTTCTAATCGAAAACTTGATCGTCGGCCGTCAAGGCAAACGTCTACAACCCACAACCACGTTTTTATTTTTTTACAGAATGCGTTGATCGATTCAGTTTTTCAGAAGTCGCGATTGCTTTGCACGATTCGACCCAAACGGTGTCTCGAGGCTCGGCACAAAAGTTTCAAACCAAGTTTGTCGGAGATTCAAACAGTCGGCGTCAATCTGGAGTTGTTTCGACAAAGTCGTGTTCCTGAGGATTACGTCAAACTGAGTGCAGCCAATTACACCTCGGTATGTGTCAACACGAATATATTGTCAAGTACCGTTCTCGCATCTGAACACACTAACTGCGTGACAACATTGGAGCGTCATTCGTAAGCCGCCAAGATATGAAAAGTATTTGTTTCATGCCGCGCTTCGAAAATTGTGTTTTTTGTGTGCAATACATGAACGTATATAGAAGTCACCACCAGAAACATTAACGCCGACTGGATCCCTGAAAAACACATTCGGATGGGGGGTAGGAAGGGGTTTCAAATCAAGGAGCACATCGCTGTAGAGGAGTTACACCGAAGAGTTTTTGTTTTCAGGACCCAGAGAGTGGCTGCCAGCAAAACGGCGAAGAACACCCGATTCTTCTAGCCAAATGTCGAAGCATATTTGACTCCATCGCCCTTAGCGGGAGGATACGGTCCACTTCAAATCGTTTCGATGTATGCTTTGGGCTCAAAAGACTCCCACAGCATACTAGCTGTAATCGCGTTGAGTCAATTTGTGGATTGGTGCAGCAGGAGTTACTGAAAGTCAGCTAGAGTACACTGTGGCCCCCGGCGTGAACTGTCCCCCCATATTTGAATGAAAATGTGCAGAGGAGTAGAATCGCTCAGGTTCGACTTTTTTGACTACCCGTAGCTTCCTCTCGAGGCACGTGTACACACTCAGACACCACGCCAGCCAGGCTTTCTCAGTCAACCTTATCTTTGCCCGACCTGAAGGTATTTGAGTGCGAACTGGGTTAACACAGACGAGGTGGCGAAGCGTGCGAATGGCAGCTACGAGAGTATTCCGACAGTCACAAGTATGGCGGACGTGTACTTCAACTCCTTCGGGTTCTTCTGGAATGACAAGGTGCACCTTTCCCGATCGAAGATGACCTTCAGCTCTTCGTACTTCATGTATCAACACGCGCGTTTTCACGCATATGGTGTGACTCGAGTGCAGTATGCATTGAGCAAGTCGATACCTGCAGTATTGGAGTCCTCAAATTCGTTTTTAATTTTTTCAGAACGGACGGCGGTGTACTGCCGACCACGTCAAATCGAATCGTGCATTCTCAAATTCTTCGCTGTTTTGCAGGACTCTGTGGTGCCCAACGCTTGCCTGTCAAGACAATTAGGCAATATCTTCAACCGGAGCGTCCCGCTCGACATCGAGAGCTTTGAAAAGGTACACTGGCTATTGATAAACAAATGTAAGCAAGGTATTGGTATTCCAAGTTTGACCACAAGCTTTGAAGTGCAGGTTCATATATTGGCAAGGGTCCCAGGACAAAGCCTGCTCAAAAAGTGTCATGTAATCGTGAGTCACGAGGGTATCGCAAGTACATGGTGCGCCCGTGCAGGCGGTCCGCTTTATCAAGCTGCTTCGATGCGTTTGGTTCCCTTTTCTCTCAGGTGGTGGTGCTCACGCAGGGGTATGGAGACTCGTACTACCACTTTGTTGTGGAAAGCCTATCCCGACTACCCGTCGTGCTTGACGTTCTTAAAGAAAACCCCGACATCCAGGTACGTTCAGCGTAGTGCAGACAGGTCTATGCGCCCGGCGGGAGCCTTAGGCCATGGAAGAAATTGTGGAATGACAACACCTCCAATCGCCAATCAACGCCGTCGACGGCGTACAACAGCTTTCACATAGTTAGTGTGTGGATGCTGAGGCAGGAAAGTAAGAGTGGCTGCGATGCTTCGACGTACGATAAATAGCCATCCCGAGTTCATGTAAAGCAACTTTTGTTGTTTATGCTGCTGTATTTCATGCAATTTCGTTTTTCAGTGTTTTCCTCGTGGAGAACTTGGTACAGCGTTAAGGGTGCACAAACTGGCTGTTTTGCGCTCCTCTCTAAAGGTCCTTGTTTCAGACACTATACAGCCTCAAGGCGCTTGGCCAACTTGCGTTTTCGACTCCATCACGTGATTCCCGTCTTGTGTTCAGAACACGAGTCTGTTGCAGTCGTGAGAGGGAGACTCCCCAAAATTTCAAAGTAGTAGACTACCGTAATCTCCTTTGTCATCCCCTCCCCACACCCAAGTTCGCCGGTAAAGGAGTTAAAACTTGTCGTACACCCGGGGAAGATGGCTTTTTGGGAAAAACAAATTGATGCCGCCTTCGAGGTTAGGTTTTACGCGCGGTATCCCCCCGGGGTACCGTTGGATGGGGGACCAGTTTGACAGTTTTGGGGGCCCTAAAGCATCAAGATCACGTCTGCAGTGAATTTCTGCATTTCAGGTGGGACATGCACGCACGCGTGTTCAGCATAGTGTTCGCGATATTTTGCGCTTGTAGACGATTTCATAGCGGCGGCACAGCTGCGTGCTCTCCTGCTTCCTCTCCCTCCCGAAATCATGCTCGTAGATTTTATCCGTCGGTACTTTCCGAAGTTGCTAGGGAACAAGAGTGGGCGGCTATGTCTTTCATATTCACCCGGGGTACGGGTATTTAAAAAAACAAAATCTATCCCCTCCCCGAAGGTCGACAAAGGATATTACGGTATGCATCACATCCCTATATCCGTTCTTCTGTATGCCGCGTTCGTCCGTGGTCTTAACTTGCTTCCCGTCGGTAACTTGCCTGGTCCATCGTGATTTCATTTCACAACCGACGCCAACGCTTGGTGGTCGACGTGAGAAGGTCGCCGTGCCCCGTCGCCGCGACAGTAGCAAGGAATACATTTATCAGTTCCTGGAGCTGCTCGGTGTAGCAAGAGAGCGCGTCCGATTTGTGAGGAAGGTGAGACCCAGTCAGCTGTCTGGTTATTGTGATCCAAGAAATTGGTGGATGTGAGATGAGCGTTTGGGATTCGCGGACGAGGTCGACGTATAATTTTCAAATTATATGGCGGTGAGTTGGTGAGCTGTTGCACTATGCTGGGAAATTGAGTGGTGTCGGTCAGGGCGCGGATGAAGAAAGGGTTGGCTTTGGAAAACCCCCGAAGCCGCCGACGTTGCTACAGCCAATTTCAGCAGTTGAGGCTAAAAACAAACTCCCATGTTACTTTCTATCAGCGAAGATGCGACTCATGCAGTGCGGATCTCACCGGGTCATTCGTTTATGTACTTGGACAACCAATGCAGGGTTCAATCTGACCGCAGCACAGCAGCTTGTGCTTGCGGTACGGTGAATTCGCCAACCGGGCCCGCTCCTTGAACCGCCCCTTGCCCACGTGGATAGAAGAGGAGTGTTTCACGCATCTTTCAATGGCTCGACCGCAGTTTCACGTCATCAAATCCGAACCGTTAACGCAGAAAACTTTTTCATTGTAAGGGGCGCGAATGCCGTCCCTCGACAGAAATGTTCCAACGTTCCTACCGTCAGTGTTCCGCCGAAGACCGCAGTTCTGAAGACCCCGAACGTCTCACAAACGACCCCTCCCTCAACGCACAACCGCGGCTCTGACGCAATTTTGCTCCGGACCGGCTCTCTGACAATCACTTTCTCCATCCACACTTGGGGGATTTCAGAGTCCCGGTTGCTTAATAGTTACCCTCCTGCTCTTGTCTTTCTTGATATTTTTTACCAGGTTCACGCAGGCCTTGCTATTATTCCTTCCTCGACAGTGTGCTTTAGGGCAAACGCGGCGCCGATCACCATGCTGAGGCACGCCCTCTTGCAGGTTAGAATCAGTGTAAGCTTAACGCCACATGAAAGGCACATATACTGGAGTGTTTCAATGGTAAGGTGAGCATTTCGTTATCCATGTGTTTTTCGACCTTGCGGCCAGTTTACATCTTGGCCGACTCCGAATCACCTGGGAACAGCATCGCGGTTTCTTTATGTTACGAATAATCTTTTCCGCCATGGATCGAAATTCGAAGTTGAGGACGAGAGCAAGATCACGAACTCTCCCTCAAGGTTCAGATTTGCACGGATGGGCAATATCAATAAAAAAACAAGATTGACCCGATTTTGCTGATTTCCCTTTAAACCTTCAGCGAAACTTGAAAGCGCACGAATATAACTCGAAATCCATGGTAGAACAGGGCATCGGTGATGTTCTAAGACCGCGATGACAGCTGTATGTTTTCTCACAGACACGAGCATAAGATGATTCGGTCGTCAGCATGGCACGCTGCCCAAAGAAGAATTGTTTGTTGCCATCAAATAGCGGTCTCCCGACGTTGTGGTTGCCTGTCGTCGTGTTCGTTTGGGCTCAGTTCGTGTTCGATTGTGCAGTAGGTATTTCGCTGATGGTACCTACTGTTAGTGGGGATCACCCGCAGGCTCCCTGGTCGCGAGACGCACAAGTTCACCAATGACGCAATTCTTGAATCATCAGATGCCAGTAAGCCCCGTCAATAGACCGAAGTAGAGCGTAGTTTGACAAACCAGCAATAGAAATCCCGATCGAGCTTTTTGTAACGACGCTTGCATGTGCTACAACAACATTTCGTTCCTAACTACCTCTTGACCCGACACCAGAAACGATGGTCGTTATTTTTCTGAAATCCCCTGGGATGACTAGCATCGTGTATATCCTCGCATTTAACTTTTCTAAAATAAGTTTCCCGCTTTGATTCCCATCATTCCATCGCAGCACCCCACGGGCTCCTCTTAGTTTCAATAGAACCCCAAAAATAGCCACAAGATGATTTTCTAAGGAATGTTGAAAGCCCACGTATTTCTTCTTACAGTTTTCTTAAGGGCAGTTTTTGCACTCTGTCGACGACAACTACAAACACACCCAGTCACAGGCGACCAACGGAGAAGCTAGATCAGGTGCAGCCAAAATGATTGGTGGTCACCACCCACCAGAATACATAACAACCGATTTCTTGGCGCTAGACCACGTATTAAGCTAGGGTGTGACAACAAGTATCCTATGCTTTCATCCACGTGTGCGTGGGGTAGCAGTCACCTGCTTCAATCAACAGGGAGACGCGTCAGTCTTGGTTGTTAACCGATGGAAACAAAAGTGTATTTTTACTTGGAAATTGAGGAAGTTGTCAAACGGCT